CAAGGATCTACATGTGACCTCCTCCCTGGGGGACGGACAACAGAAAAGTAGGCAAAGGGAGATGTCGGACAGGGAAAGATATGACAAAATAATAATTTTAAAATTATCAAGGGTTCATGAGGGGTGGGGAAAAATGAGAAGCTGATACTAGGGGCTTAGGTGGAGAGCAAATGTTCAGAGAATGATGAGGGCAATGCATGTACAAATGTGTTATACACAATTGATATATGTATGGATTGTGATAAGAGTTGTATGAGCCCCTAATAAAATGATTTAAAAAAATGGAGGGAAAGATCCATGAAAAGGTAGAACAGGGACACCAGCAAGAGGTGAGTGGGCCTTGCAAGGGAGAACCCACTCCCAGTTGCTGTGAGTAAAGAATCCTGATTTGGACCGAAAGGATGAGTAAACTAACAAGATGAAAGGAACAGTTGAGGTAAAAAGACAGCTTGCCATTGGGAGAAAAGCTTGCTATAAGAGAGATTTTAACATAAAATAAAAACCTTCCCCAAGGATCCCGTCCGGGTTGCTTCCTGACTTCTCGAATGATAGAGACATATCCTTAGCCTTTGATTGCTAGCCCCAAGACAGAAGCTTTAAGTTTCACCGAGTAGAGAGTTTCCCCAAGGATCGACACTGGTTCCATCTGACAGAAACATAACATGGGATGTCCATCTCTGGGCTAGACACTAGCTCCAAGCTACTTTCTAACCAAATCTGATCATTCCCTTCCCAACAGAGTCTAGTCATACTGCTGCATTTCAGTGAGCACTGCTGGAAATGTCATTCATCTAGTTGCTCAAATACTTGGGAGACACTTTTGATTTCGCTCTCTCCTTTATACCTTCAAAATATTCCTTTGATCTGTATTCAAATTATAGTCAGCTTTAGACTACTTCAAGCCCATGCACTTCTACCAGGCTTCAGACACTTCATTTCTGCTTTGCTCACAGTACTCATCTGTTTCTCCCTGGTTGCCTACTTTCTACCCTACCTTTCTCCTCACTCTAGCCTATTTTTAATACACTAGCTAGGATAGTTCGCAAAAAATATGTTTGATCCTGGCATTCTTTTGCACAAAAAAATCAGGGGATCGGATCCCAGAGTGTAAAATCCATAGTCCTTAAAAGGGCTTCAAAGACATACAAGATCCTTGTCTAGCACTCCATCTCCCCTCATTTTTCTGATGGCATTTTTACCAGTCTTCATTTAGATTATCAAGCTCTAGTCACACTGATACTTTCCTGATATTGCTAAAACATGTTCCAACTTCTAAATTCAAAATCCATGACCATGGTGCCTCTTCGGACTCATAGTGACATATAAGACAGAGCAGAGTTACTCTTTAGAGTTCCCAAGGAAACTGCAAATCTGTAGTAGACAGCCTTGTTTTTCTTCACTGAGTGGCTGGTGGGTTTAAACTGCCAACCTTTTGGTTAGCAACCCAATGCTTAACCCACTTCGCTACCAGAGCACTTTGGATGCATAGTAGATCCCCAGTAAACATTTGCCCAGTCAGTGCAAGAATTGTCTACTCCAACTAAACTATTTCTTCTCTCTTCATTTATTCCCT